AAGCTGTTTGTAAATTTTATGAGAATAAGACAATTCTGGACACAATAATCTTTGTAAAATTTTATTTCATAAGATGATAAATAGCAAAATAAATAAGCTAAAACAATAAAGGATAAATAAATCTTCTGGTGCTCGATGTCCCATAGGTGGGCCGAGACTTTCTTGGCAGAGTTCGAATCACCTTTTCCTCCTAGCCCTCAGGAGATCGTTTGTATTTCTCCGAGGGGTTGTTGGCGTTCTCTGTCATCTTGGTCTCGACCAGGTGGTAAGGCTTGTCCTCTACCAGCAACGTACTATCTCAAATGACCACGTTGTATGAGTTCTTCAATCTGTCTTTTAAGATCAAAGCAGTCGTCCGTATCATGGCCATGATCGCGGTGGAAACGACAATACCTGCTAGAATTTCTATGATTTTGGGCGGACTTCATTTTTTCGGGCCAACAGAACATGGGATCATCTTATATTTGGAACAGAATATGCTCCATGGAAGCATTGAGCGATGTGAAGGCTTGTCATTCTCTCAATGGTGGGGGACCAAGGCGGTCCTTGGCAGAGATTTTCTCTGTCTTATTCCTCTTATTCTCTGCTTCTCTCTTGTCTTTGCGAGGTATCCTTCCTCTTTTCGCCCCCATGGGAGAACTCACCTCGTCTGGCCTTGGTGACATCCTCAGCGTTCATATACTTTTGTGCCCTTGACAGCAACTCAGGCATATTGGATGGTGGTTTCTTAAGGATGGAGAACATAAAACTGGAGGTACGAAGGCCGGCAATAAAGGCCGCCAGGGCTACCTTGTAATTTGGTTCCCCTATCTGGAGAGCCTCCTCATTGAAGCAGACAAAGTAGTCTTTGAGACTTTCATCCTTGTCTTGCTTGATGGTGAGCATGTGGGTCATTGGTTTCTGATGTCGGCATCCCCCAATAACGTGGGAGACGAAAGATCTACTTAACTCTGCGAAAGAGTAAATTGAGGAGGGCTTGATCTTTGCAAACCATTGGCGTGCGGACCCCTTGAGGGTGGTAGGGAAGACTTTATACATAATCTCTCCAGGCACGTTGTGTAATTGCATGAAGGATTTGTAGGTGTCTAGGTGGTCAAGAGTGGTACCTTTGAAGATCTCGATGGTAGGCATCTTGAACTTCGTGGGTAAGGGATAATTGACTATGTCAACAACAAAAGGTGTGTTAGTGTGCCTTACCAAGTAGTCTGCTGTCTCGGGCGCCTGTGCCTTGATGGCGTTGAGGGCATCACCAAACTAGTGTTGCACCTCTCTAATCTTCTCGTCCCACTGATTGGGGATATCCTCAGTCAGGTGGTGGTACTGGCTTTCATGGTCTCCATATTGGCTTCCTCTGTCTTCGTTTTTCTGCGCAGGTACTTGTAGAGAGGGTACGCGAAAGCTCCCTATGCGTTGAGAAAGGACTGTCGGGCAAAANGCTTTCATGGTCTCCATATTGGCTTCCTCTGTCTTCGTTTTTCTGCGCAGGTACTTGCGGAGAGGGTACGCGAAAGCTCCCTATGTGTTGAGAAAGGACTGTCGGGCAAAGGGCGTCCTGGCGTAGCCCTAGAGTATTCTAACTAGGGCCCCCCATGGTGGGGGGTTATCTGGAGCCCAAAAAGGATAGGTTGTTGCTCTTCTCCAGTTGGAGGGAGTGGGACTCCTCCCACAGGGTGAGGGGCGGCGCCCCTATGGGTGAGCATCAGCTAGATGATCAGTTAGTTCTGGTTCACCAGTAGCTGCATAGTTTAGAGAAGCTATTGTCGGATGACAGGAGTCGTCGCTGCAGATGGTTCAGAAGGTGCAAGGGGAGACAGAGCCTCCTTCCGGTGGGCCTGGTTGTTGTCTCCCGACTATTGGCTCATTGATTGGATAGTGATTGTCATGGATTGAATAAGAGTAAGAAACTAGTCGTTCCAACAAACGGCACCAAACTGATGATGCACAAATTGGTATTGCGCAAAATCAACAGTCGAGTATATCAAGAGACACAATTAATGAGCAATAAATAGGCAATCAATGGAAAAATAGTAAATAAGGGAATCAACACAGAGATTTATAGTAGTTCAGTCCGGGTGACCTACTCCATTTTTGAGAATGACAACGGTAGCTGGAGATCTTTATTGATGAATAATGTCACCGAGAGAGTAACTCCGGGAGTATTACAATGCTTTTAAGAGAGAGAGAGAGAGCAATGTGTGTAGGGAGGTGTAGTGTGTGTAAAGATCTCAAGGTGTAGGCGTCAAGGTCATAGAGATGTCCAGGTTGTAAGGTCATGCCGTCTATGTGTAGAAGGCTTACATTATATAGGTATGGTGAGGCGATGACGTGAAGGAGAGGACTTCTACTATTTTGGTAAGTACAGTTATGGTAGGATTATATCTCCGTGCGTATTTCGATATTCTCTCACTCGCTCCTATTCCATCAGGAGGAGGATCCTGAGCTGGACCTCCTTAGTTGAGTTGGACATCTGAGTTAGGTTGGACTTGGTCTTAACCTTGGACTTTGAGTTGGAGTATGCTTGGATTAGTCATTGAAGTCAAGAGGATGGAGGAGGGCCAAGGGCAGCCTTGGGCGGCGCCCCCTGGTTGCCTATATTGGGGCGTTGGCCTCTTGGTGCTTTGGGCGTTGGCTTTCTTGGTTCCTTTTGGACTCCCTCTTGATGGGTTGACCCAACTCTCTTTGGGCTTCGATGACTTGGGCTCTTTTCTGGGCTCTCTCGACTCATTTTTATCGGGTCTGGCCCAGTTAATTTCGGGCTCATCACAACTAACTACCATTTATCTAGAATAGATAAGTTGTTTGTTGTTTTCTATTTCTTTATTTTTTTGGACATAACTTAGGCAGGCAGTAGATCAAACAACAAATTATTTTACCACATTAGGGTCAGAACATAGCATATCCAAGTCTTATGCTTATTCTCACCAAAAAAAAAACACTCTATGCTTATAGAAGAACTAACGATAATCCGTGATTAAAATCATTGTACACTGGATTATAACATTGTGCATGCATTGAAATGTGTGTGTTGGAGTATATGTATGTATGTGTAACTGTGTGTTATGGAGTGTGTATGTTGGGTTTTTGAAATTTGGGGGGGGGGGGGGGGGGGG